ATATATATATATATATATATATATATATATATATATATATATATATAGTACCGTTTAATCGACTTCTTATTAATAGTACGTTATTAATAAACGTATTTTAATGCATTTAATTTGGATTAATATATGGTACACGGAGAGAAATTAACAAACTAATATTTCCGATAAATTTTTATATCCGATCAGGATATAAAAATGGGATATTTGATTAAATTTAATCAAATATTTCTGAACATAATGGTATTTTATTTGATAAATCTATCAAAAAATTATGAACCGATATTTCTCATCGGAATATCTGCTCTGACTATAATTCCTATAATGACAGAGCTGTGATAATCGTTATACGACGCGACGCTCGTCATATTTTCGTGTTTCCTGTATAAAGATTATTATTGTATTGTTTTAACAAAACAGTGATAAATAGAAATAGAATTTGACTCTCTAGTTTTTAACCATCGCTCAACGATTTTTGATCAGTCGTACATTGTTGTTAATATACTTTTTACAGTTTTTATAAATATGCAACAATTTTACTTTTTCGGATGTTTTTTGATTGAATACAAAAAAATTCATCGGTCTATTGATCTGTTGATCTGTTGATTGAAATATCTGTTGGTTTTTTATCGAATTTTTTATCGAATAATTTCTCTCAATATAAGAGTCATGTCTTATTTGTAAATTAATGAGATGCATCAGAATCACCTAATTTGAATTAACATTTAGAAGAGTTATGTCTTACGTGTAAGTTAATGAGATACACTAATGTCGTGATCGTCATCGATGATGTGTAATTTAATGTTAATTACATGCTTAATAAAAAATGCTAATGAAATATTAATGAAATTCAATGTTAATAAAATTACAAGTGTGATTTAAAAAGAAACCCATATTGCAAGAAATAATATTGCATCAGCATTTTGTAATATGTTCAGATATATCTGTCGATATTGTAGTCCACGCTTAGATAAATTATATTTTGCCACGAATTACTGCCAAGTTAAAGATTGATCTTCGAAAAGAAAGAATTACAAAGAGATATTTACTGAATATGTATGTCGTTGTGTGATATACACGTATTCGCATATTAGCTCACGTTTATTCTTTACTTCACACAAAAGAATTATTAAGGCCCACGTAAGATATGGATTGCGAAATACGTTATATCAACTCAGTGACTCAATGACAAAGGTCTTGATGATTTATCCAGTATTATTGTTTGTAAAATTTAGAATTATTTTATACGACATTTCTATAGAATATAAGAACAATTTTATCTGTGTGTAAAATACTTCTTTGAGGACCTTACACAAAGTCTGCTAATTGTAGCTAATTACAGCTTGCGTTTTATTTTTTCCTTTTTAGATACATGTTAATAACATGCGGTGTGAACGCAATGCTTAATCTACGTCCGGACGACCGAATTTACGATCCTCTGCCTCTTTATCATACTGCAGGTGGCATAATTGGAGCAGGACAAGCATTGATGGGTGGTGTCACTGTCGTGCTCCGTAGACGGTTCAGTGCGTCCAAGTTTTGGTCAGATTGCGTCCATTACGAGTGCACTGTAAGATTCCATTACTATTTATACAACTCTGAGCATGATTAAGAGATATAATTTCTTACGACAGAAATACTTATTTAAAAATATTTCACTGTAAGATATTTTATATCCATCAAAAAAATATTTTTGAAATTCTAATTTTTACATTATCACATAAATACTTTTACACTTTAGAAAAAGATTAATAATGGACAATGTCTGTCTCAAACAGAAACCGGTCGTGGAGTAACAATCAAAACGGGCAATTTTTTATCCAAGAATAAGTCGGAAATGCAAAATAAATTTTCTTACGAAATTTTCTCACGTCAGATATTTCTTGTTCTGTTCCATGGACAACTATAATTAAAACTGTAAAATATTGATTTGCTCGAAAACAAAACCTCGTAAAAAAACATTTTATTTTACAGTTCCGACATTCTCTGCGTGAGAAATTATTTACGATTACGATAATTATTCCTTCTACAATAATTTCTTTTACATCATGATTTCCGAATTCTTTTTAATATTAAATTTGGTTTCCGTGTTTGAGCCGCGTGGATTCATTTTTGTTTGATTCCGACGTTTCGCGAACATTTCAGTCGTGATAATGTACACATAAATTACGTTTTATTTCGTTCCACATCTTTACCGACCAGAATTGAAGACTCGATTGCCCTTTTTAAAGACATCGATGTCTGAAGCATCGGGTCGTTCCTTTTTGATGAAGCGGACTGAAATGTTCGCGAAACGTCGGAATCAAACAAAGATGAATCCACGCGGCTCAAACCCGGAAACCAAATTTAATATGCATGGATACCGCAAAAGCCTAAAAAATCAAATCAAGTTCTTTCTTTTTAATATATTTATATATTATTTATATATTATTTATATATTATTTATATATTATTATATATTATTTATATATATGCATTATTTTTTATATACAGGGTATCTGGTAACTCCCAGAAGAGCCGCGGTGTACAGATAGATCAAACTGAAAATTCTTCTACCATTTTGCGAATAATATATAAAATTCGAAATTATTAATTAAAGAAAATTTGTGAATGATCACGCGTCATATGGTGGATGAGCTGTGATAGGGACGTCTGCTGTTGTATGCTTCTATTAGATCAAATTGAACAAAAAATATCATTTTCCAATGATGATAATGACGTACATGTTTAGTTATTAATTAAAGAAGTTTGGTATACAGTTGGTGTGCGATAATCTGTTTTAATTAATGAGTGAACATCTACGTGGTCATTTGGAAAATGGTAGAAGACTTTTTTGTTTAGTTTGACCTAATAAATAAACATACTACATACAGAAAATGTCACCATCACAGCTCATCTCCCGTATGATACGTAATCGTTCATGAATTTTCTTGAATTAATAACTCAAAATTTTACGTGGTTGTTACAAAATGATAGAAGAATCTTGTGTTTAATTTGATTTAATCTAATTATACACCGCGGCTACTCCGTGAGTTATTGGATACTGTAGATATACGCGTTGATATGTATTATGCATACGGAACTCGTATTATACAAACTATTTTTTTACGGAAGGCTTCAACTTTTTTACATCATTGCAATAAATTAAAAGAATATTATATTTGAAAACTCTCTTTACTTACAGAAGTAAACTCTCTCTTTACGACAGAATATCTTCTCTACAAAATTTATGTTATTATATTAATTGCACAGAATTATAAATTCTCCTATATGATGAAAGTACGTGTACAAATTAATTATTCAATATATGAAAAAAATGATCAAAAATTTTAAAATTAGTCTCTCGAGCTGTTAGCATAAATATTTGTCTGATATGAAAATTCTGCAGCTTGTACCTACGTATCGAATGTATGTCTGTTTCGTTCAGAAAAATTTCCAAGAATATTGCTGTACCTTTACGACTAAATTTCAAAGTTTAAAAATATAAGAAAAGTTTGCAGAAAAGTTTCTATATATGCATATATGTTTTCCGCTAAATATAGTAAGATAAAGCAGCATACATTTATACCAAATCATGTACAAGAAACGGATAACCTAACCGTATTAATGATTGTTTGTACTTTATTTTGGACATTTTTGGAGTCCGTCATTCACTTTGATATCCCCTTAGTGGAAATCGTTGAAGTACTGATTTGTTCGATGATAATGGATTTATAGAATTATGGTTTTTATCTTAGATAGCGCAATACATCGGAGAAATCTGCCGCTTCCTTCTTACGGTTCCTCCAGGTCAGTACGACAGGGCGCACAAAATACGCCTTATGTTCGGAAATGGCTTGAGGCCACAAATTTGGGAATCTTTCGTGAAAAGATTCGGCGTGAAGCAGATAGGCGAGTTTTACGGAGCCACCGAGGGAAACTCGAATCTTGGTAATTCGCACACATATATTTCTCTTTCTCTTCTTCTCTTGACGTTTACAGAAGTAATGATTTTCATCAAAATTGGTTTCTTCAACATTTCATGTTTATCAAGAGTTTTCTATATTTGAGTTTTCTTATGGAGGACACTTGTTTGATTTGCAGTCAATATTGACAATACAGTTGGTGCCGTTGGTTTCGTGCCAAGATACGCGAGTGTGTTATATCCCGTCGCATTGTTGAAGGTTGACGACGAGACAGGGGAGCCGTTGAGAGGACCAGACGGATTCTGCATACCATGCAAACCTGGTACGTATCACAGTACAAAATTTCACATGGAAGAGAAAACACGACGGAGATATTTTCTCGAGAAAATTTTTTACGCGTTGCTGCGTCGGATTTAATTCCGCCTGTTTCTAACATAATGATTACAGAGCACACAATTTTGTTAACTGTATTATTTAGTAACATATGTCATGTATATATATTCGTTTAGGTGAGCCTGGCGTTTTTGTGGGTAAGATTAATCCGAAGAAAGCAATAAACGACTTCAGCGGCTATGCGGACAAAAAGGCTTCGGAGCAGAAGATTATACACGATGTCTTTAAGAAGGGCGATCGAGTTTTTAATTCTGGTCAGTAAAGATGTGGAACGAACGAAGTAACGAACGAAGAAGTGGAATAAAGTAATTTATGTGCACGTTATCACGAACATTATTCACATTACGATTTAATTCTTTATACAGGTGATATTCTAATCATGGATGAGTATGGATACTTCTTTTTCAAGGACAGGACCGGCGATACGTTTAGGTACGTACATCTTATTAATTAGATTTTTACAAAATTCATAGAATGAAAAACATTGATATTCAAACAATTCAGACTAGATTCATTTAGCAATTATCGGGTTATAAATTTCTTTAGTAAAAATCAATGAACTTGATCAATAATATTACATAATTTTTTCAAAGGAAATATTTGAACTTAGAAATATTGAAACTGAGATAAGATTGAAATTGAAATATTAGGTGGCGAGGTGAAAACGTTGCTACTTCGGAGGTAGAGGCCATTGTCAGTAATGTGATAGGACTCAAAGACGCAGCTGTATACGGTGTCGAGGTAAATGACAGTATTAACACTGACAGTATTAAGCACTGACACAGATTTATCAAAATATTTCGAAGTTTGGTAATTACTTGAGAAAGTGTGCGATACGTCTTTCCTTGTCGTCACTTCGTATCTTACAGGCCAAAAAAAAAAAGATAGACGGACGCGATATGTATACGCTTAAGCGGGAGTGAAACAGCAATAAGTTTTTTTATTTCATTGGGAGTCTACCAGACTCTTGTCATTGCTTAAGAGTTAGGCGCTTTCAATAAAATGTGGATAAGAAAATTGACATTTAGATAAGAGTTTCTGGGTGTTTACTTAGATAAGAGACTGAAATTTAGATAAGGGAAATCGTCGTTCTGACTTTACGTCAACTAATACTCGTTTTAGAGTTAATATGAAAAGACCTGAGTTAACGAAAATGGGTAATGATCTATTGATGTGATAATGATCTATTGTTATGCGATTAGGTGCCCGGGAGCGAGGGTAAGGCAGGAATGGCAGCTATATACGATCCGAACAATACCTTGGATCTCAAAGAGTTGGTAGAAGGATTGAAGAAATCTTTGCCCTCCTATGCCAGGCCTCTTTTCATTCGTGTTTTATCAGAATTACCAATGACCGGTAATTATATGAAGTTTCTGTTGATTTCTCGATAGACTATAGATGATTTGGAATATGTTTTTGTAACGGAGTAATTAATTAATCTTTCTTACGTGTTCACAGGTACGTTTAAGCTGAAAAAGAAGGATCTGCAACAGGATGCTTTCAATATTGAGAAGGCAAGTCTTATTTTCTCTGTTTTTCTTTTTTTTATTTTTAATTTAAATAGCAGCACGACAACAATGCACTCTGATAACACTCTGATAATGATTTGCGCAGGTCAAAGATCCAGTTTATTTTCTTAACAAGGACTCCTACGTGAGGATGACTGACGAACTCTACAACGATATCAAACAAGGGAAAATCCGGTTGTAATTTCCTATTTTACAACTTGTCCGCACGATTATTGTTCTTCCGTGAATGAACTTCTTTTTAACAAAAGATGTTGCAACACGTTTAACATAATGTTCCATAAATTTTCAATGGTTAGGGCGTGTTAGACAGTCAGCAAACATTATTTTTGTGGACCAATAGACTATCATGCATGTCTTCTTTTGCAAATGTTGTGCCTGTGCGCGAAATATATATTGTTTAGAAGCGACAGGTTTGCCGTTAAAGCAGTAATTGATATTTCGTTATTTACAGATTATTCATAATAGTAAATTTACGTGACAATAACGATACATTTGAGCGTATTGCGCAAATACAGCAAAATGCTATCTTTCAATATTGTTGCACAAATGAAAAAACATGATCAATTGATACGATCAGACACGGAGAAATTTTATATCCGAAATTATTCTAAAAAAATGTATATACTGTTATTTTATTTCACATCAAGTGTAACATTTAAATCGCTTTAATTCGTATTAGTAAAAATTTAATGATAAATTTGTTATATTGAATTGTAAAAAGGTGTTTACAATTCGTGTAAATTCAACCATTGTAATAGATATCAAAGAAAATTAACAACATATTGTAATTTGTCGATTTGAAATCGTATAGATTTTATCGTACATCGTGTTAACTTCTTGAGCTTTAATTTAACTTATTTTGTTAAGATTTACGTGCGCTGCTGTCAATAAGCAAGAATAGGCTTTATTTTAAAACATCGAAAATTTGTACAAAGTCATTGTCGCTGTCATTGATATTTTACTTCTCTTAATCTTGTAGGACCTATTTTTTGAGCGTATAATTGTAATTTTGATATAATTTATGTACTAAGTGTATATGGCTTTATTTTAAAACATCTTCTCAGATTAAACTGTAGTTTTTATATTTACAAGATTCGGAATTTGGCACGTGCGTTAAATTTTTGAGAAATAGATACTCGCAGTTTTCCTGTTTGTCAATAGGTTAGCTTACTTTATGGCCACCCAGTGTATAGGCTATACCTGGGAGGAGATGATTTCGTTTCCTGCGCAATCTCCAGTGCGTTCCAGTGATTCTCATCGCACGAGATTAGTTACATATATATATTTTTTTCTACTGAAAATCAAACGAAAAAATAGTTCGATGTAAAATTTCTGATCCGCACATTGTTATCCTTGTACCATTAATTATAATAACATCTTCCGGCTTCTGCGAAGAATACATGTACACATACATATATATTTAGGGAAATACTTTACAGAACTGTTGATTTCTATTTTTGTAAAATGTATGACTGTTACATAAATAAAAAAGTTTATTATAACGAAAAAACGCCTTACAGTCTTTCGCGCTTTTTCTTCCCAATAAATAATTTCCTATTTTGTGTTCGTTATGCTATTGATTTTAAAATTCTTTTTTAATTCAATCTTTTTTCTTTTTTAATTGAAAGAAATAACGCTAGTTTACCTGTCATCTAGAAGAAAAGTTATTATAATGCAATTATAATGCTATTATAATGTAATTATAAAGTTATTATAAAGGAGCTACGTAAATACTGGTTAACGCACACATCGATCTTCTAGATTTTGATTGAGAACACTCATGTGTATCTTCGTCATCCATAAATTCCTTGAGTTCGTAGCAATGGTCGCAGTTGTTACGAAAACGTGGTTTGCTGCTGTTGAAGGTGTTGTTACGTGCAACATAATGATACAGTGATAAGAGAGCACCGACGACACATTATTGCAGTATTGTTACGTGACATTGACTACATTAACACGCTGTTACATATCATAGCAACAATCGTTATTCACAGTGAAACATTTCTAATAACGTGTAAGTATGTAAGCCGATAGATATATCGTGTCAATATACAAATAACGGGTGTGATATTTAGGCACGTGTGTGTTAAAGAGTTTAGTGAACAGTAAACAATTGTGTAATAAAAAGTATCGGAACGTAAGAAGGTTGTCTAGTAAGAACAACGTTTTTAATCTGTATTTGTTTCTCCATTTTTTAACACACACACATTATTAGTAGAAGAATTATATAATTCTAGTAATAGTAGAATTATATAATATCTCATGACAAATAAATCAACCTTTATATTCAAGAGAATAAGTTACGTAACGTATTTGAAAATCTTCTGAAAGAAAGATTTTATCTGATAACTGAATCCCGCAATTCCGACATAAATAAATTTCTTATCAGAAACCTCAAAGCGTAATGTCAACAATTATATCTTCAAAATCGAGAATAAATTATGGCTTTGGCTTGAAACTTGATAAGACTTTGATCAAGCCATTTAAAGTTGCATTACAATGAATATGTTAAAAGCAATCTATAATAATATTGTTTAGATGAAAGATAAGATAGAATATAATTTTAGTATTAAATTGGAAATTATGTCATTTATGTGAATAAATCTTTAATACTGCTGTGCATATATTTCTGTTTTCATCAGCTTTGTCTATCAGAAAACAATGGGTAGCGACAAATTCGAATTCGCTATAGACCGTGGAGGTACTTTCACCGATATATATGCGAGATGTCCAGGGAGTAAAATCCGGGTTATGAAATTACTTTCGGTAGATCCAGCTAATTACGAGGATGCACCGAGGGAGGGCATTCGCAGGATACTCGAGCAGGTATATTATGAATAATTGCATGTAATAATCAACAGCTGAAACACAGAACAAACACAAAAACGATGTTTTAAAAGTGACTATTTGACAATCATAAGAAAAGATTTGTCAGTGAAGAATTAAGGTAATATTGAATCTTGTAGCATATATAAAACAGTAGAATTTTGACAAGTACCTACAATGTGTCTTTGAAAACATAATATTAATTTCGAAATACTTGATATGTTCACGATCATATGCTCTCTAAAGTACAAGCAATATATTCTTCACTGAAATACTATATTTATAATCCAGACAACACAAAATCTCTAAGAGATCTTTTTGAGACGTTCTCAGAATGTCTTTAGGATGTCCTATGGAAAGATTTATGTTATCTGGGAGCCGATAATTCAGTTATAAACTTAGCACCACAATCAGTAAAATTCTTAAAAAAATCAGTTAACAGTAACTACTATTAACCATTATTGTTAACCATTATTGTTATCATTGATGCAGTTTACAAACGCGGACAGTACAATTGCACAAATTGCATAGCAATCATTGATTTCATCACCACAAATGTAGAAAGTTGGGTTTTGTACAGCGTATAACAAATTTGTGTACTACAGATTTTGAAATCTTGTTTCCACTATTCAAAATCAATGAGATATACGATGGAGCAATAAAGTGGAGGTGTTTTCATTGAAAATAAGTGAATACTCACTGATTATCGATGAAATATTCTTTTTACTGATTCAGTCAGAAAATATTTTTACTGATTTATTTTAAGACAGTGTTAATTTTAGGAAACCGGTGTTAAGATGGACAGCGAAGTGGATACTTCCAAGATAGGATGGATCAGAATGGGTACGACAGTTGCCACTAATGCTTTGCTGGAAAGAAAAGGTGCAAAAATGGCGTTGCTAATAAACGAGGGTTTCAAGGATTTGCTGTTCATCGGTAATCAGGCTCGGCCAAATATTTTCGATTTGGTTCGTATCGGTTCGTAAATTCAACAGACTTTGATCGTGCTCCTATTCACAGCAATTCGATATACAGCAGTGGCATTAATTATTACATTATCCGATAAATTTAAATACTCATACAAGCGCTTTTGGACAGTACGATTGCTAACCACGACTCCGGATGACTATTCCTACTTACATTTTAATTCATTTGATATTAGTCTGCGATTTTTTAGACAAATTCTATTAAGAACTTAGTTGACCACTGCATTTTTGTTGTACAGTATTTCCTTATCTTACCTTTCATTGTACCGTCTATTGTATCGGATATTTTCTTAGGAGTTTCTCTCTTGCTACCGAATAACTTTGGTTGCTATTTCGCGTGTAAACTTTTGTTTAAATAAAAAAACAATAACCCAGCAACCACCAAGTAACAGTTATAACACACGCGTTATATAATAGTTATATTGTTGAGTGGGAAAATATAACTAACAGTTATATAACTATTACTTGGTGTTTGCTGGAGATATTCTTTGTTCAATTCAATATCTTAGCTTGTTTTGGAACATATATACGACGAAAGGATTCGCCGAAGACTAATAGTCACTTGCACAACGTGAAAACATATCACCAGCTCTCGGCTTCTATATGGATGCTATATTGTATGAATATTAATTTAAAGAAATAGAGTTCCGCACAAAAATATTTTACATTTAGTATTTAAAATGTATTTCCATGAATGAATAATTTTCAAGACGATATAACAATATTAATGCCAGTACTATATTGGAAATCGTATATTTTAGTCTCTTCATGAAGTTTATTTTGATTGCACGATCGCATTGCTTTCATCTTAACTTAAATGATCTCTCGTCGAATGTTTACAGGAAATTGTGACACCGGAGGTTTTGTACAAAAAAGTGGTAGAGGTAAGATGCAGAGTGATTCCCGCTCTGACGGGCAGATGTCAATTGGACAACAAGTTGTGGCGAAGAGTGAAAGGATCCACTGGCGAAGACATGTTCGTTATTCAAGAACTCGACGAGGCGCAATTGATAAAAGATCTGGAGGAACTTCGTAATTTGAAAATAGATAGTCTCGCCGTTGTCCTAGCACATAGTTATACGTTAGTAGATAATTACATTTTACTTGAATTTTGATCATTTATCATTATGCAAAGTATTTGCATACGATAAGTGGGAAGACGTTTGTTTACAAGTGGACTAAGTCAAATTGAACATAAAAGTCTCCTATCATTTTGAAAATAACCACGTATATTTGATTAATTAAAGAGAATTGTCAATTATTCGCTGATCTTTTTAATTAATTATTCAAAAATCTATGTGATTATTTGCAACATAACTCTTTGGTTCATTTTGATCTAACGTACAAGTAGACAAGTAGACAGAAATCGTACTTACCGACATCTGCATCGCACCAATTCTTTCTAATTAGTAACTCAAAATTTTATATAGTTATTTGCAAAATGGTAGAGGAATTTTGTGTCCAGTTTGACCTGATCTACATGTACACGAGTGTTTTCTCAGCTTCTGTTAGACTTCCTGTATGTATGTATGTGTGCTTATTTTATAATATTTGTTTCTGTATTTTGACGATTTAGATATGCGGACCACGAGATCAGGATTGGTGAATTAGCCAGAAAGGCAGGTTTCTTTCACGTGTCTCTTTCACACGAAGTGATGGCGATGACGAGAATAGTTCCTAGAGGTTTTACCGCCTGCGCGGACGCTTACTTGACGCCGCACATAAAAAATTATCTAAAAGTAATATCACTTTTGTCCTTACATGTAAGACATCTCGAGAACGTCAAAACATGTATCGTCATTTTCAAACAATAATAATTTATTTTCCCGCAGGGATTCTCTTCGGGCTTCAAGGATAATTTGAAAGGTGTAAATGTATTGTTTATGCAGAGTGACGGCGGATTAACACCAATGCATTAGTAAGTGTTACGCGTGCTTGAATATCATCTTTTCGAAAGATTCGTTATGCCACTTCCGTGTTAAATGAAATAATGTTTCCGTCTATACTAAAGTTTCAATGGATCACGCGCTATACTTTCTGGACCAGCTGGTGGCGTTGTTGGATACGCAATCACGACTTACGGAAAGGAGACTGATCTGCCGGTCATCGGATTCGACATGGGCGGCACGTCGACCGACGTGAGCCGGTACGGAGGGAGTTACGAACACGTTTACGAGAGCACAACAGCGGGCGTCACCATACAAGCTCCTCAGGTATAACTTCAAGTAACTTTAAGATAATAATAATTATCCAACATAAAAAAAAAATGTCTGGAAATTTGTAGAATGTTCCTTTCTCGAAATATTTTGAAGAAAATATCTTCAAATGTCAAATCTTCAAGAAGAACTTTTTGAAAATATCAATTAGTGTCGCCGCTTCTCGCAGAAAGAAAGTGAGAAAGGAGAAATTAGATAAATTCGATTAAAATAAAAATTCGGTTAAAGTTGGACGTCAACACAGTTGCGGCAGGAGGTGGATCGATGCTTTTCTTCAGGTCGGGTCTCTTCGAGGTCGGGCCTGAGAGCGCGGGTGCTCATCCTGGACCCGCGTGTTACAAGAAAGGTGGCCCACTCGCGGTGACGGATACAAATCTCGCGCTGGGACGGCTGCTGCCAGAATATTTCCCTAAAATTTTTGGACCCAACGAGAACGAGCCGCTCGATAAATGTTGCACTTTAAAGGCGTTCAAAAAACTCACCGAGGAGGTAATTTCCCAATGAGCTGTCTCTGCTTAAAATTGATAAAAATATATATAAATTTCACTGAACTACTATATGTCTTCATTTAAACTTATTATCGGAAATTTCAATTTTTTATTTCAGCTCTTTCTCTCTCTCTCATGCAAAAAAATTGTCAACTTCTCTCATTTTATATTGTAACTTACTTTTAATGATTAAATATTATAATAATATAATTTTATATTATTATAGTAATATCATTTTTTTTTTCTAGAAACACGATTAATTTACATAGATTTTTTCTTATATAATGGTATCAAGTCTCTTAAGCAGGGATATCTTCATTGAAAATGTTAGCGTTAAAATTCTCCAATATTATCGAAAAGTTCCTACTCTAAGTAAACTTATAATCGCACTAAATTTTAGAAGAGAAGTGCCGCTGTGTGAGCTCACACGAAATATCTACATTACAGATTAATACATTCCTGAGTAAAAATGGAGAAAATCCAACAGCGGAAGGAATGACGTTAGAAGAGGTGGCTATGGGGTTCATCAGAGTCGCGAACGAGACCATGTGCCGACCGATTCGCGCCTTGACTCAGGTATTGTTAATGACAGTTTTTTAAAGCATGATTATGATTTTATGTAGTTTTTGCAGTGAAACTGCATTCATAATGCCGAAGTGCATCATCAATCCTTTGTATACATATTTATAATTTTTATTGGGGCAGGCGAAAGGTTACGACACTTCGCGTCACGTTCTGGCATGTTTTGGTGGTGCCGGAGGACAACATGCCTGCGCGATCGCACGATCGTTGGGCATTGGCACAGTATTCATTCATAAATACGCCGGTATCTTATCTGCTTATGGTATGGCATTGGCGGACGTTGTCGAAGAGGCCCAAGAACCAAGTGCTGAGATTTACGAGCAAGGTAATGTCCAACGATAGAATTTCTCTGCTTCATTTCTATATATCGCTTTCTTCATATATATTCCTGCATTTTTATACTTCTATCATATTTCTTATATATCGTTCCTTTATATGATTTCGTTTTCGATATGATTTGTATTTTGTATATTATTTGCATATAGAAAGTTTCGATCGTTTGGATGATCGTCTGGATGAGATAGAAGCGAAAGTTCAAAGCAAATTGCGCGCACAAGGATTCACGGACGCTCAAATAGAAACGCAGCCGTTTTTGCACTTGCGTTATCAGGGGACTGATTGCGCTTTAATGTGCACACCCAGTGCATGCCGAAGTGAAAGAAAATGCACCAGACATGGAGACTTTCTTGCTTCATTTTTAGAAAGGTAATCCTTTAAGGTTGCAGAAACATTTTATTCAACTCAAAAACTATCCGTTCAGTTTACTTTGATTACTAATTATTCACTCGTAAACTTTACTTTAATGAAGATATCAGACCGAGTTCGGCTTTACGATGCCGGACCGCAAGATTCTGGTGAACGACGTAAGAGTCCGAGGAATCGGTAAAACTGAAATTCCCCAGGATCCTGTGTTACCTACGATTTGTGAACCACCAAAATTCGAAAAGGTTAGATCTCGATAGATCTCGATAGCAGATCAAATCAGTTATCAAGTAGAATCTTTTATATGTGCTTTAAGTGCACTTATATTTTTATGCTTAATACTCTCTAAAATACAATTGTATTTGTTTCTAAAATACAAGTGTATTTTGACCGCAAAATATGTGTTATTTATAATTGTACGCATAAAAAGGATTAGCTGCAGAAGCTAAAATATAACTGTGGCAGCTAAAATGTATTATTGAAATAGGGACAGCTAACGTCTAAGCTAAATGTATTAGCTGTTTGAACTCCGATGCTGCAGCAAAAAATATCCGCTACTAGACATATATATTTAATCGTAATAAAATTATATTCTTATTTCTGTTTAGAGATCTTATTATTTTTTAATTGAAATATTTTTTAAGATGTTATGTGTGTATTATTATTTTGTCTGAAATTAACTATTTAACTGTTAACATTCGACGTTATATTGCATTTGAAAAAAACTCGTTTTTTACTCAAATGAAGCTCGAATCCAAGAATTTATGCCCCCCATCGCGGGCATTGAATCATATTATCGAAAAGTTTATTTTGGTACTTTTTCTAGACCACAATGGTGTACTTTGAAAATGGTTATCAGAAGACTATGGTTTATCAATTGAGTTTCTTATATGCTGGACAGACCATAAGAGGTCCTGCTATCATTATGGACAGCTTGAGCACAATTTTAGTGGAGCCAAATTGCATCGCTACAATTACTAGTCACGGAGACGTAAAGATCACAATAGGGCAATGTTCTCAGATGAAAGTCACCACCGATCTCGATGCCATCCAGCTTAGCATCTTCTCGCATCGTTTCATGAGCATCGCCGAACAAATGGGTCGGTACGTTTACCAGCGAGTATTCTCCGTGATTCCAGATGATTGCTTTTACAGTTCTTAAAATGGCTATTCAAACATCCGCGTGTTTTCGACAGGATACTTCAGAGAACTTCGATCTCCACCAACATAAAGGAGCGATTGGATTTCTCATGCGCGGTTTTTGGCCCCGATGGTGGTCTCGTTTCAAATGCACCTCACATTCCAGTGCATTTGGGCGCCATGCAGGAGACCGTGCAGTACCAGATAAAAGCATTTAAGGGTGATTTCGAGCGGGGAGACGTTATTCTCTCTAATCACCCGTCAGCGGGCGGCTCTCACCTGCCAGATTTGACGGTTATTACACCGGTATTCTATGAGTACGTATATCCTTGTCATGTTGCATATTCTTTTCGAAGAACTTTCTTCTCGAAGAAAATGCCACGAACGTTTTGTACTTATGTAATGCTTCAGTGAGAGAACATTATTAAGACTTAAAAGTTTAGCTTGTCAATATTCTCTTGAGGCTTCTTTTATATTAGGGGTACCCATAAGTAATCAAGTACTTACGTATAAGTACAACAAAGTATGTTTATGTATAAAGAAACATTTAAAAATCTCTAGACGAAGCTTTTATTTTTTAATCAATAATTTCAGTAAGAATATGAGATTGATAGAGATACTTAATTACTTAAGAGTATATTATAAATATTTGCTAAGTTTTAAGTAACTGTCTTGACGCAATCTCTGTATATATAGGAACGTAGATAAGCCAGTATTCTTCGTGGCCAGCAGAGGTCATCACGCTGACATTGGTGGTATTACTCCCGGTTCAATGCCGCCGCATTCAACAATGCTACTTCAGGTATAAAAATGCTGTTGTTGAATATATTTTAGAACAATTATGTACGAAAATTGTATTTCGATAGGAGGGAGCTACTTTTAAAAGTTTCTTATTGGTGCACAAAGGAGTCTTCCGTGAAAAAGAACTGACGGACGCTTTGATGGCGCCTGGCAAGTTACCAGGAAGTTCAGGTACCAGAAATCTTTCGGACAACCTCAGCGATCTCAAAGCTCAAATCGCAGCGAATCAAAAAGTATGAAGCTTTGTCATTCGTATAAACTATCCTGATTATTTTCATTTTGCATTAAGTAGATCATTAATTTATCTCGAACTTAATGATGAGATTTTTATATTGCAAAATTATTTATTTGTCTAGAAAATAAATAAACAAATTTATAACGAAATTTAATAATGAAATTAATAATAAAAATAAATAAAATAAATTTATTTTCTTCTGCTTAAGGGCTCACAACTGGTCAACGAGCTGATCGACACATACACACTCGAAGTAGTTCAGGCGTATATGAGTCACATACAATGCAATGCTGAAGTTGCCGTTAAAGAAATGCTGATATCGATAGGCACAAACTTTCTAGAACAAAACGGGCACGTCACTTGTACCGCCGTCGATTATCTCGACGACGGCAGTCCTATCAAGTTGAGTTTGCACATCGACATTCAAGAGGGCAAAGCGATTTGTGACTTCAGGTAATCGGGATGTGTCGCGTTAAAGCACTATTTAACATATTGATAGTTCGTAATCTTTGTTTCATGGCTTTCGCAAATTTCAATATAAATCTAACAACATTAGCTCTTAGCTACAATATTCTTCTATACCAATTATATTTTATCGAATAAAAAATATTTCAAATATCCCACTTGGTATATAATTTTTATATATATATATATATATATATATATATATACACATATATACAGAATATTTCGATTTTAAACATTCTAGATAAATATCTCGAAAATTAAGGGAATTATAAAAAATTTTTGTGACAGAAATTATAGGATTTCAAGGGGAGAAAAATAGTAATATTTATTTGATCTTGGAATGACCTTAAAAAATTCTGTCAAAGTTAACTTACATTTTTTAAATAGAATCATATAGTTTTTGAAAAACAAAAATTGGGTTCATCTGATTATTCTATGTGTAAATACCGGGATAAAATCATCAAAAAGTGAATTTTTTCCGAGATAATTATTTATATATTTAGGTAGACATTTAGATAAATCTTTCTGGGACATCTAAATTGTGGGACACACCTTGCATATATATTTTTAATATTTATAGTTATTTAATGCACATTTTTTATACTTAGTAAGAGTAATACATATTTTTTACTTGGAACAATAAAATTAATATTTTTTACCAAGTACATATTGCTAAGTAAAATAATAAAACTAAAATCCGATTCTACACAATGTCACACAATTAATAATGCCACAAGCTGTAAACATTCGTATCTTCAGCGGTACGGGTCACGAGGTTTTGGGCAACTGCAATGCGCCACGTGCCATAACTTTGTCTGCGTTGATATACTGCTTGAGATGTATCGTCGGTCGGGACGTACCATTAAATCAGGTAACGTTATCTCGGTCTTTCCGAGGGGAAGTTCACGAGAAATTCCAACACGATCTCCATTTCTCTTCGTAGGGATGTTTGAAGCCTGTAGAAATAATTATACCTAAGGGATCGTTGCTCGATCCCTCGGAGGACGCCGCGGTGGTCGGCGGAAACGTCTTAACGTCTCAGCGTGTCGTCGACGTGGTTCTGAGTGCCTTTGGAGTTTGCGCAGCCTCGCAGGGTTGTATGAACAACGTAACCCTCGGCACTGAAGAGTGGGGTTATTACGAGACAGTTGCCGGTGGCAGCGGGGCGGTATGGTCACTATAATTTCTGAATAATACACGCCCGAGCTTCAAAGTAGAGTAACTGTGGTGTGACTAATAAGTTATTTCTATAAATTATTAGTTAAACGATTATTACACGGAGAAAAAAATTTAATTGTATTAACATGAAGTTCGGTTTTAATAAGCAAATTAACGCGTTTTGGCTGAAAGACAGAGATTTTCTGTGGTTCTTACAATTCACATTTGGTCCTAAGAATCAGCAACCTCGTTTCTAAGACGTGTTGGTTCATTCATTACCAAATTTCATGTTAACACAACTAAATTTTTTCTTTGTATAGAAGAGAAAAGAATAAGAGAAAACGAATAGTAATTTTTCATGGAAATTAATATGATAACTTTTTATAAATAATATAATTTGTACACGATTACAAAATTATCTGTTTTCTCATTGTATCTCAGTTGGATCTCTTAATTTGATATTGAGACTTTCGCGATGTGTAATAATATTTGGGTTGGAATTGCGTTTCTTATCGAATTGTTTTCAACGTCTTGTGAATATTTTAATTCACTTCATCAGGTAAAAGGAGCAACTTGATATCAGAGCCGCCTCTTTTGTTTATTTTACAGTGATAAATAAGTCTGCATTTTCGCAGGGACCGACTTGGAACGGTAGAAGCGGCGTTCACACGCATATGACCAACACGCGAATCACCGATCCAGAAATACTAGAGCTGCGTTACCCCATTGTACTCAACAAGTTTCACCTTAGATACGGAAGTGGCGGCAAAGGGGCGCATCATGGCGGCGACGGTGTTGTACGTGAAATGACTTTCAGGTAATTTATATAAAACTTTGCTGTTTTCGAATACGTATGTGTGCAGATTTCTCTTCAATTAGGACGTCCAATTCGACTGATGATTGTCGATAAATATCTTTCTCCGTTCATAGATTTGATTGAATGTGTGTTGACAGAGCTCCGATGACTTTGTCCGTGTTGACTGAACGGAGAGTGAATTGTCCACCTGGGCTTAACGGTGGTATGCCAGGAGAACGTGGTCGCAACACTTTAGTGCGGGCTGATGGCAAAAAGATCAATATGGGTCCGAAGACCGCCGTTCCAGTAAACGCAGGGGTAAGAAATATTTCAAATATATTTACGCTGTTGTAAAAATGGTGAACAGGAGGTGTACTAAAGAAGAAAACAGGGAAATCTCGCAGTAATTTTATTCATAAAGTAATTTATTTCACTGAAAAAACAGATCACCTTACTAAGATAAAGATACCAATGTTTGAACACCAATAACACTGGTGTCTAATTATAAATATTCTTATTGATCTTTAAATAGTTATTTGATTTTTAAATACGAATATATGTTTAAACTTTCAATATAGAATATATCTACATATGTTGGATATTTACATATATTCTGCGATGAAAGTTTAACGATTCGTATTCAAAAGACCAAAACAATAAGAATGGCCAGAGTTAGATATCAGTATTATTAGTATCCAAATATTGGTACTTTTACCTTATCTTTTACCTTAGTTGTGCATTGCAATTTGAGAGGAATTAAAAGTAAAGAGTTCGTTGATGATGGAACCAGGAAAAATTGGTAATTTTGCTACGAAAGGCGATTGAGAAGTGCGGATGTCCCATGTAGAAATTTATCTGTAAAAGACTGTCAATTGTTGAGGAACTGAAACAATGCTTAATTTTCGCACAGAGAATAATTTGTAAGTAACGAAGTAACGGCATATTAATGTAACTCGTTTTTCCACGGGGGAGTGATCGCGTAATAATAAAGCACAGTTGAATGTAAGGGATAGGTAGAGGCGAAGAAATGGAACGGTGTGAAGAATGGTGGAGAAATTTTTCATGGTTTTACGTTGGTTCATAAAGATTTTATTCCGGTAGACACGATCCCCGCTATCTGCCACGTTGTATGCGTCTCGCAGCAAGGGGTAAAGTGATTTTCCTCACGTCTCTGTGTGGGTGTTATGAGATAATAATCGTGTTTTAAGTTGCTCGTGAAAGCGTTGCGCGGGCGCTTTAAGCTCTTCGCACTGAGGCGCGAGTGACAAAATCCCGATATATCACTCTTGATCCCAAGACGAACATTAAGTGCGGAGCGGAAACTTTTTCAAGAGAGGGATTTCACGAGCTTAACACTGTGTGGCAAAGTCGCTCGGCCCTTTGAATACACGTCTATCGAGCTTCTTCACTCGATAATGTTTCGGAGGATGAATGCGAATGAAATAGCACAGGATCGTGGATTTCACTTAACGTTACTCGATGACATATTGCCATTGGCGTTTGTCAAACCGCTCGACGCGTCCCTTATTCGTCTACTACATGTTATAGCTCATGGATATCTAAACAGGCCACGAGTGTTACAGCTCATGGACACCTAAAGAGGCCACGAATACTCCGGCGTGTCTTTTAACTTCCAGTACGAGCTTCAGTTTCGTCTATATTAAAAGAAACGGGACTTTGTACATACGGGAAGATTCGCGCCTTCTGCGCCAGGTCATAGTGCTTGCTCCTTCGAGCGAGATAAAAAATGCGAGACGAGTCAGGGAAAGATGGAGGAGATATATGGTAGGCGAAGCGGAGGGGAAGTGGGAGAGAAGCTGCACAACTGTGTGCACATCACAGTCCACACCCCCGCTCAGCGGGCTCCGCAAAATTTCTTTTCGAAGTTACCGGAGCACGAGGGAGCTGGCGACGGATGCGCGCCCGTATTCCCGAATATTTCGTAACAGTTAGCACCAGCTTCTGAGAGGATTGCGCTGCTATTAACGTGCGGGCGTATTCACCGGAATTCCCCGGCACCTTTGCTCCTTTCGTTAGTCCTGCGTTTCCTTTCGAAAAGTCTGCGGAGTCGGCGCGAGGATAGAACGATACTCGCTCGTCATTTAATTCTCGCCTGTATATCGTTGCGCCGGGCGAAATGAATTCACGGTTGGCGAGAAAATTTCCGTCTTTCCTCGCGCTCAAAGCGATGGACTTCGCGTTTAAGGCCTTTGTCACCGGAAGGTATTCCGCCCGTTGGTGATTTATGCATTTCACTGGAAAGCAGTTTAATGCATAATTCACTCTCGCGGATAAAGGTGGGAGTCTTAAGGAGATAATATTTAAAAATGTATTGCAAGCGCGGCGAACGCATTTTCTCTCAGTTGAAGTATTCCATGTTATCCTGATCAAAGTGTCAGTGCGATTGTTTAACAAATAATATTTGTAGTGTTCCATCAGAGCTTTTTGTTTTCGTTTTTTACGAAAGCGTTTTTTCGTCGTTAATACGACGAGTTTTTCAAAATAGTGGAAGCTTATGTTATTGCGCGAATTTTCCAGTAAATGTTATTTCTGGGAGCTCTTGACGTAATACGATTGATGTACTTTGTTTCGACCCGTGCGATTTTCACGATAAATCTCCATTAATATGCGATACGATTTTGCGGCGGGCGCGAACGTAATTTTCCAAAAATTTTGATGACGTTATTTTGCGGCACGATATTGCGTCGGAGTTTCGACGGGACAGTTTCCAGTGGTTTGGTCAAAAGTTGGAATGCACGTACCCGTGCTCGATCCGCATGTACGTGCAAAAACGGTGCAGTGCGATGGTGCAGTGGTCCTCGTGGTCATCGCTTCTCAATGTATTTAATAAGCACGAGCTTGTAATTAAATGGTAGCATGTTTGAATATTTTCATGCAAAAAGATGTGAATATTTTAAATCAGTAAATGTATACTTTCGCACGCTATAGATAGTTACGACAAAAGAAACATCCTCATTTACGAGGATAAATAGATGATCTTGTTGTATAATGTTGTATTTACAGTTGCATGAATTGTAAATACAGTAGCAATAGATAAATCCATCATCATGTGCCTATCATTGATATGAAGCATCATTACTATGAAATCATTATTAATATTAAAAATATAAAATTAATATTATGAATATAAAATGCTAAATGAAGAAAGAATTTTTGTGAAACAGAGATGCATGCGTTTTTCCCAAAACATAAGTTGTATTTTATTAGTTAAGATTATTAATCGGATAGCGCTCATTATTGTCATTTCAGGATGTATTGCCTATATCTGAAAAATAATGAAAATATTTTGAAAAAAATTAGAGATTAATCTATATTGCATTTAAAAGTGATCATTGATTTTGATCCGGAATGGGGGTTAAAAATTATTCCATTTGGAAATGTAAGGCCAACAAACATGATAATGTCAAATAATGTTTTAATTGCAATTTAATAAATGCATTAATGATAATTGCATAATTGCAATTTAATAATGCAATTTAATAAATGCATTAATGACTAACGTCAATAATATGTCATACATTAATACATCATTTGACTACTATTATCCTGCTACTTAGGAGTATCTTCAATCATGCTGTGTTATGGAAATATATAATGCCATTTTAAATATTGCCATCTTAAGTAAGCGAAAGGAAATAATAATTACAAAATGTAATGACAAAGATTTTAATTTTTGTATACATCTATTTTAAGTATTCGAAATAATGTACACTGAGTTAGAAAATTTCTTAAAAATAATAGCATTTTTGTAAGTAAATTTAAGAATTTGATATTAAAATTAATAATAGTGAAGATTTTTATAACATTAGGATTATTAATTATAAATTAGTTATAATATTTTATATTTCTTATGAAATCTTATATTTTCTATCTTATTTTTTTATCATATTTTATTAAATTCCATATTAAATTATGAAACATTATAACATGTTATGATATGTTAGAATAGTTTTTCTAATATATCATAAATACGAGATTGTTTCGGTCATGTAGTCTAAAAGATTCAGCTTGCAAAGCATCGTGGCTTTTATCGAGATTTCAATGGAGTTATTCAGTCTTTTCATTGATTCTTCTTTATGTTATCGCAGAAGTTGTGCATCGCTATATTTTGATTTTGATCGCAGATTATGATTTTTCATAATCGTGTTATTAAATATAATATTGATTTTACTATTACTTTTTATAACATAGTTATGTAAAAAAAAACTTCAAATCTCAGCTATTAAATTTAATACGAAGTTTTTTTATGCAAGATTTTATTGTGGTCCAGAGATAAAAGTTTTTAAAAGTTTTAAAAAGTCAGAAATAATAGAATATAAAAAATATATAAGTGAATTATAAAAATATGATGTTAAAGTTAAATAATATGTTGTTATTTGACTGAATATCACGTCGCCCATGCGTTTGTATGTATATATAATACGTTATATATAATATGCTTTTTATTACGTTATACGGATCTATAATTAGGGTTGGAAAGTAACTCGTTACTTATAACGAAGTTACAGTTACAGTTACATTTTCTCGGTAACTGTAACTTAACTTAGTTACTAGTTAGTTATTTTTAGTAAACTTTTATTTAGTAAACTTTTATTTAGTAAACTTCTAACTTCTAACTTTTTTTAACAGTCTTCTAACTACTAAACTTCTAACTTTTTTTAACAGTTACTTTAATAGTTACTTGGAAAATGTAAAATAAAATTAAAATTATTAATGTTATTATTAATTAATTTGTTAATTTGTGGATAGACTAATTACATTAATGTGATTAATATTAATTATAAAATTCAATTCTTACATTTTTAAAGTTACATTAGTAAAGTTTAAAATGTAAGATTTTTGTATTTATAATAATAATTTACAATCATTTAAAGAAAGTAACGATTCGTTATTTTTTGAGTAACTGTAATTGTAACGAGTTACTTTTCATAGCAAGTAACCTGTAACTGTAATTAGTTACATTTTCAGCAAGGGAAACTGTAATTGTAATGCGTCGTCTACAATGGCAGTAGGAGTAGTAGTAAGAAATAAGCAGTAAATAAATAGATCAATCATCGATTATTTTTGAAACGTAAGAATGGAATTGGTCAATTTGCTTACTGCTTATTTCTTACTACTACTCCTACTGCCATTGTAGACAACGCATAACTAGTTACTTTTAAAAAATAACTTTCCCAAACCTGTCTATAATACGTTTTTATACGAAAAATAGAGATTAGTGTATTTCTAATTTTCAGTTACTTTTGGCAGGGACTATAATATTCTTAATTGTTTAGTATCAAGGATTTACGTTTTTTTTGTAAAGATTTTTTACTGTTTCTTTGCAGGATAGATTTATTTTGGAAAGTCCAGGCGGCGGTGGTTACGGCGTGCCGGGCACGAGCGCGCCATCGACGCGTAACAGAGGTTCGCATAACTTCGCCGAGCGCGGAAGTGTTTTCGAGTACCGGAAAGCACAGGAGTCCGTCTAGAAAGGCTCGCAGTTACTGCTACGAGCGCGATGAATTGTGGTGTGGAAGATACATTCCGGAAGGGCATTGCAACTATAATACGCGCAGCAAGATGCGTCGCATCGCTTTAATATATTCCTATTGAATGGTGCAGTAGCCGCATGAGTCTTGTGCTAATAGATACCTCAAGTTTTGAACTGTGAAAAGAGGATAAAATTATTTTAAATAACAAATATATTGTGATGTTGAATAATATTAAATAATAAAATTTTATCTGACGTTACGTAATGTGTTTTTGTTATATATAATTTTTGTGTTTAGTACGATATACTGTGTTCACATATATATTTTAAATATTCAACAGAATTGCTCATTCATTTCACTCTTAAGATTCACCAAAACATCCCCGATATTTTTAAGATTTTCCGGTCAATTTGTTGTAATACTTTATCGTCAGACTTTTATCTCCTAGTTGCGCCTCTGACCGTCACTTCCACGTAGATATGGATTCGCGTTCTCGAGGATTCCGTCAATTCCCAAAGGAATTAAATCTGCTGTGGTTAATTTCCTCGATTTACCAGTCCGCTCGATTTGCAGCAGGTGCAAGATGGCCGCCGTTTCATTTCCGGCAGGAGTAATTACAGGCCGAAATGTCATCGCGCTGACCTACATAGCGGCAGACTTATGATTGCATTTCCACAGAACGCTGTTCAAGGTTGTTCCAATGATTCGATTGACAGGAAGCGCTCCTTAACCTCGATTGAAGAACAGAAATACGCTGTAAAATGTATTTGTATCGTCTCTTTTTTTGGAAAATAACGATATAGAACTAATAATATTAAGAATTGACAACAATTCGATATGTTGTGATATAATTGTCAAATTCCTGACTTTGACGTACTTATTAAGCTTAACTATTTAAGACCCAGATATCGATGTCGTTCAATTAAAATGTTTATGGTTTTAAAAAAGATAATACATATAATTTTTATTTTGAAAGATAATAAATCAGTAAAATGGTTTTAAAAGACATTTCTAATAAAGAATTTTTTGGTCTGAATAAAATTGATCATTTAGAAGTTTTTGAATGTACATAATTATGTACGCGCGATTATATTTGCATGTGAGACTTTACTACAGAATTTAACAAATTTTATAATAATGATAATGAACATAAAAGCGTTATTCTTATATTTTAAGATAACATTGATAAAATATAGAAAAGTAAAATTTGTTCTAAGTACAAAATGGTAAAATGTAATTTAGTAAAAGTGAAAAATGGTCTCACGACGTGAGACCATCAATAAAATTTAGGTACTTTTTTTCGTGAGAAACTTTATATAATTTTGAACGTTAACGATTTTGCTCTACATATGATCATCATATTGGATTTTTCCAGCAATGAAAATTACTTCAATGGATTGGGAAAAAGAATGTATTTAGGATAGATTGATAGTATTATACAGAATCATATTATGTCGTCAATATAAAAATTTTGGGAAGAACCCAAAGTGAATATACATATATAATTATGTCCACTGTACTTTAAATGCATTGAGAACCATTACATAATACGCTTGTATTAAATCATTTTCAATGAATCGAATCTCTCTCTTCCTCTTTCCGTCTCTCTCTCTCTCTCTCTCTCTCTCTCTCTCTCTCTCTCTCTCTCTCTGTATATATATATATAGACGATTTGAAAGAAAATTTATTAAAATTTAATAGGTAACATAATCACTTTAATCTGCGCTTTATCGAGATATTTCGGGCGGAATATGTAAGCACGGAGATTTAATCTTTATCCATTTTATTATACCGCAATTCGCAGACGGAAATTCTCCAGTGTACGATAACAAGTAGCTGAAATAGAAGACGCCATAAAATTTAGTTAGATAGAAAAAAACGTATACGGCTTGTACGTTTGAATGATCATCGAATCGTTTTCGATCAGTTGCTGGCCGACAACGGCCGGTGCGTGATACCTGTCCCGCGGGACAGCCCCTGTCCGAAATTTGATGCCTTTCGATGAAGAGGGCACAATCCCCGCTGCGTGAATGAAACTGAAAGGACGTGTTTCCCTCGACGAGAGTGTCTCTTTCACGACCGTACATATCACGACGGTCCGGGCCGATTGCCTTCGCCGCCAAATACAAGGCGAGAGTGCCGGAACGCGGAAGATAGAGTCGCTCGTAAAAAGGGCGCAACCCCCTTCCGCGGGCCGCGGCAGGAAGGAAGAGCTGCCGCACGGTTGATCGATCGATATTTTACAAGCGGATGAAAATCGAAGTGGATACTCAGCCCTCGCGCGGGCGGGGAACAAGGCTCGCGCGGACATGCAAAAATCGCCGAGTGCGAGCAAGTTTTTACGGCGCAGCAAGTCGTTGCGGAACGAGTCAGCCGAGAGATCCGCCGTTGTTCGGCGGAGAAGTCTCGTCTCGTCGAAATTTCGTCGTTCGAAACTCTTACGATGCCGCGTGCTCTTTATGGATTTCAGGGTGATTTCTTGAGTCTTCGCCAGTGGCACGGGTTAATGGCTCAGTTTACACCGTGCATTTTTCTGAACTAAAATGATGCGCACCATATGTTTAATAATACGACTGCGTTTACACTAAATGATCGTTTACATCATGTATATAAAGTTTACGAAAAACACGATTAGATTCTAATGAAATAAATATTACATCATAAAAAAATCTGTTTTTTTTATGTATAATTCTAGAAAATTGCGTGTTTCGTCTATTGTCCAATTTAAACTTCTTTTGCATAACTTGTGAATTCAATACGTTCTGGTGCTAAGGAATATCAAAATTAATCTCCTATTGCCTATTATGGTGACAATCTAAAGTCACAATCTAATTTCATCATTATTTATCTCCAATATGAATTATTCTTGTCTTGACCAACGTGACGTGAAAGTTACAATATGGCTACTCTTTTTAGTATGTTGGCAGCGATAGTAAGTTAATATTTACACCACCTATTTTGGGAAAATAAAAAAAATTAGAAAAATAAAATTACTTTATGTATTGAGTACTTTTGTTTTAAATATCTTATGTACATGACATATTTTTTAAACATAAGAAATTAATTTAGGCAGTAGAGAGTTAACCTACTCCAATCTTACAAAATGATTATATGTTAAATATTATTATTTGATATACAATCATTTACAGCGTCACCAACGTGTTTGATATACATAAGCTGGTATATTATCTCTTCCTCAAGTATATCGTACAACTCAGTACGCTATTATTTACATTAGTAGAATTAAATGAATTTAATACAAATATAGTACTTGATATGCATATTAAATGTTGGTATAAACAAAGTCAATGTTTCGTTCTTCGCGTCGCTATTGGAGGTTAGAAGATAAGGCTACAACATTGGACGTGTATTGGGAGAAACGTGACTCCTACTTTCAAAATTATCACGGTCCTCGGCGGACTTATGACGTGTGAAATCTGATGTGCTGGAAAGTATGGACGAATAATGTGTCTAACGTGCGAGAAGTATAAGAAAGTGCGAGATGGTAGGCTTGTAGAAATATTTAAGTTTTCGCAAATGCGAGCGATCTAGTGTCTAAAGCTGACTTGGGAATTCGGGAATTTTCGGATACTGCAAATCCAACATTTTCCAGATAGTTTCACGCTAGTCGTAATTCTGTTTCAAGGACAGCCCACGCACTGTAGACATCCTGTAATGTGTCTAATTACGTTGTCACATACTTAGACACAGTCCGACGTAAAATGTCGGAAAGTTTCGTCACGTAGCGCGTGTTACGTGACGTCGGCGCAACTATGCAGCTCACGAACATCCGACGCAAAACCAAAGTATTCTCTCTCCATTTGAAATGGTCCTAACGGTCGCGCATCGTCTCTTGGATATCTGTTAAAATTGCATGCGTATACGGGATTAATGTAATGTATATAAATTACACGGCGGAAGTTACGCCGAAAAAGAAAGAAAACGCAACGCGTGCCCGGTGAGAAATGCATGAGAAAGCGCAACGCGGCCGTCGCGACAGAAGCGTATCAGCGAGTCGCGATGTACACTGACGATTTGGGTCCAACGCAAATGTGCAAACATAAATTTGCTCGGTGTATTATATGATAAAGAAGTGATCACTCCGCGCTTCATCCGTATATTACTAATTCGACGTAAGTCGCGTCTGTCTCGTATATTGATTCAGCTATTCTACAGTGTCGTTCAATCACCCTCAAGTAACATCTTAAGATAGTCACGACGGGTGAGACCTCCACCAATAATAATGAAAATTAACAATATTTCCAATTATTTATGAAGCGAATATACTGTGTTGAATTGATTGTGAAATTTGTGTCATGCAATAATACAAATATTCTATTATATTCGCAATCTTGAGAATATATGTGCAAATTTGCGCATCTTGCGCAAACTTATAATAATCTTGCTAAAAGTCATTCTGATTTTTGTCTTACACTTTACATGACATATTCCGAACAAATTTTGATCCTTTTTCAGTGTTTCTATTTCGTCATTCTATGCTAATTATGAGTATTGTACAAATTGCTCATAAGGGATGCAACTTTTTTGAGCCGATTAATACATTTGCTGTACTAAATTAACCTTTACCTAACTGGCAGATATGTATCTGTTCAAATAGACCTTCACGATAATCATAATTTGAGGTAATTGATGATGAAAACTTTACATCACTTAATTACATCGATTAAATCAGTGTAATATATGTTGAATTAATCATTAAATTTGCATCATGCAATGATGTAAATATTTTGTTACATTAATATGGCGACAAATTTATTGAAAATTACACTCAAATTTTCATGCATTTTATGCATTGTTTCATCAACTAGTAAAGTAGCTGCCTAATTTACATTACACCTGTCTGTCTAGCTGTATTAAACGCAACATCACACTGCAATCTTGACGATTAACAATATATAATTTTAAATTTTTTACACTTAATACAATCTCTTTTGAAAATTTATCGACTTTCTGTTTAACATGCGTGAGTTTTCTTTTTTAAAAGTTGTTAAACTCTCTCTCTCTCTCTCTCTCACTGAGAGAGTTCTCAAAAATCCATTTATACTTCATTTAGTCTAATTTTATTGAAAAATTCAAAATTACAAATAAGATAGAACTATATATTCTATGACACTTTGTATGCTTATTTTATCTTGACATGTACAAAATCATATCAAAGGGCGGCGTCGATCGTCGTTCATGAATGCTACTGTAGTTACGTGAGTGTAAGTGCGCGTTCTTGCAGAAGTTATGCTTGCA